AAAATAATATAGGCGATTTAGGGGAGGATGCAGTTTTTCGGTCACTTGCATCTGTTTTACGCTTCTTATGGAGCCACTTAATTTTTCAACAAACATTTAGAAAAAGCATAGGATATCCAATCAAATCATGAGATATTTCATTAAGTGGGAAAAATTAAACTATAAGGAGTTGGCTGGTTTGCAGTTGGCCGCCTTTCTTGTCTTTGTGCTTGGTGAATTGTCGTAAAGCATTGTGTCCTGTTCTGACGATGTCCATCACACGATGGACGAAAACTCAGTAAGGATTCATCAGGGTCGTAGGGCGGTGTGCTGAGATCCTGTTCGCACAAATCTAGTCACAACTCCAAAACGATTCCCCTATACCTTCCAGTGAGTCCAACTTACGAATCCCTTCCACTCGTCTCTTCAAACGAAATGAAAAATAGTTCAATGCTCGAACTATATATCTCGTACATCCTATGCCGTTTTTGGCATGTTCTTCCAGCATCAGGTCGTTAACTGATTACCTTCCTAGACATTTCCCCGGCTTTCTCATTGACTAGCACTTCCATTAGCACCTGATCGAGAACACGTTATTGACAAGTACAATTAATTTCCTTTAACAGTTTTTAGTTAAACAACTGAAATTTCTCCCTCATTCTGTCCTGGCACTTGTTTTAATTTTTGACTTTTGACTCCCAAATTATTTAGTCACGTCTCGGTTCCACTACTTATTTTTCTTTGTTCCGACAATATGCAATCGACCAACGTTCTGTCGAAACGGTTACAATTATAGAATAAGAAGAATGGGATTCGTTCCTCAAGTTTTCTCTGAAAATGGTTAGATCGCGAAATTGCGGCTTAACTAAGCCCAAACATAACTTGTCTATTAAATTTGTGATTGATTTTGATGGTAGTGAAATCAGGCATTCCCAACCCATTAATCTCATATTTCTCACTAGCAGTCACTCAATTGCTCCAATTACCCACAATCCATTCCCATCACTATTTCCTAGAATCTGAACGCATTGACCTCCCTACTGACATAATTCTTTATAACTAATTTATTTATATTAGTTTCAGTCACATCTATTTTTTTTCATGAATAAGCACATTTCTTTCCCTTCGCTCAGGTGGTGATGTGGGCAAATTGGGCGGCTAAGCAGTTTCGGGTTGACAGCCTCCGCCAAGCCGGAAGACATTTTGAGTTGCTCGGTCATCAGTTACTGGCGTTGCCCTCCGAGGAATGGCGCAATCTCCTCATCACCACTTCTCCTGTCTCTAGCTTATCCAACTCCAGCATCACCAGCTCTGGCAATACCGCCAGCGCAACCACTACTTCTAACCTGGGTGGTGGCGGCGGCTCAAGTTTACTCTCTATGGCACCAAGCACCCAGTCGAGCACTCCTAGCTCCTGTAGCAGCAACCCAAAGACAGTCTCTTCCCCTGCTTCCGTTTCTGCTCTACTTGCCTTCTTCACACATGTCGAGCTGCTCAAAGCTTGCCGAGAAGTTTGTGAGTCTTGTTTTAACAAATTCTACTTTCTAGGACTGTTTCGACCTTGTTTTCGCAACTTGGTCGGAGCGTCAGGGACACCTTGTGGAACGTACCTAGTCCCGTGTTATCTGCCATAGCATTCGTGATTTCCAGCATTGGACCATTGACTTTTTACTTTCTTAAACGTTTTGCCTGCATCGTAGTCGGCATCGTCAGTGGGAGGCGCCATCGTAAGCACAGTTACAACTTACCAAAATTGTATCTATGTGCTTACGATGGCGTCTCTCAATGACGATGCCGACTACGATGCAGGCGAAACGTTTGGAAAAGTACCAAGTCAATGGTCCAATGCTGGAAATCACTAATGATATGGCAGATAACACGGGACCAGGTACGTTCCACAAGGTCTAGCCAACACTACAAAGCTGCTACCAAGCAAAAGGCTATTTCATCTTGGTCTTCATATCCACAAAATCTACTTCCGACCGTCTGTCTTCCTTTCTTCTAATCTCCACAAATCTGCCTCTCATTCTTTATCCTTAGTCTGATTACTAAAACAGGCTCTTCTACAGGAGAATTAAATCAGTCAATCATTTTTATCGACACCCTCAGTATTTTATCAAATTCACACAGGAATAATTATTTAGTTTAGGTCAAACTCAATCCTACTTCTTGTTGTGTTTTCAATTGCGTGCTGATATCTCTTTCGCCCCAGCTTTTCAATTAATTCAACAACTTTTGTAGTCTGCTGGAGGGTGACATAGTGACTCCGCCGCATTTTTGTCGAAAACATGAGTAGATTCTTTATCTTTGCATCGGACTTGTCCACTTTAAACATTTCAACTAGAAAACATGCTACTTTTAGGACATTTTCCCAAACTGTCGTCAGACCTCTAACTATGACTAATTGCGTTATCGATTGAGATCGATTTCACAGATCCATCAGGTGTCTCAGACAAATGGTTTAAGAAACAATAGTTTCATACCTTGTTTGTTTGGCCAATATTTCAGTCCCTTATCATGCAGCCA